GGTGGATTGGTCGAGCTAAATTGCCCATAGTGTTCAGGGATGTGTAGTTTCAGTGGGTTATAGGGGGATGGGTCTGGGTGGGGATGCTCTGAGGGTCGGTGTGGACTTGTCGGGCCGAAGGGCCTGTGACCACACTGTAGGGATTCTACAATGATACGATTGATTAGCAGCTCACTCCCTCGTAGGTTGCATGGCCGGTCAATCCCTGGAATAGAGGGGAGGGGGATCTGGGGTTTCTCAACGGTGCAGACATAACTCATTCCCGGTTTTCTCTCTCTCTCTCCGTCTGCAGATGACTACGGGGCCGTCGGTAAGGGCTAACGCGAGGCCGATGCTGCGCAGTGTGGAAAAACGCGCAGGGTGATGGGAGCGGGTGAATGGTGGCCGCGGAATACATGACTGAATGGCGGAGCGGGCTCGATGGGCCGAGTGGCCTGATTCCCTCTCCCCTGCCTTGTGGCCCGGTGGGCCCCGTTCCAAACGTGGGTGGTGCAGTCCGAACTGTCGGCGGAGGCACGCCCACAAGACCGGGTTGCTAGCCCCAATCCCCGACCGCTCCCACCCCACTCCCGCAGCCCCTTTGCTTTCTCGGTGTGTTGGGGGTGTCGTGGCGTTGGGCCGGGACGGCCAGACAAAAGAGCTTCAGTTCACGGCTGTACCAGGTCGACCGAAACGACTGACGGCTTCTTCCTGTCTGGGACGCGGACTGGACAAAGGCTCGCGGTCCAATCGTTTTGACCCACAAGCTGCTGAGATTAATCTGGGCAGTTGAATCTCCGAGCGGGAATCGCTTCCCGAAGTTGGCCTCAGTTTTCCCGATACCGGCCGGTCAGGTGCTGTCGGAGGGAGGGCGGGAGCCAGCCGTCTGCCCTCCCCCAACACCCCCAACCCACCCCCACCCCCACCAACTCCCACCCCCACCCCAACTGGATTCGCACGCAGAGAACAAAGAAAAACTACACCACAGGGCCATGCTACGGCCCCTTAGACATGCTGCCCGTCACAACTAAAACCCCCTACCCCGTCCCGGCGACCGTATCCCTCTATTCCCAATCCTGATCGTGTCTTTCGTTGGGACGCCCCCTTTAAAAGTGGCCAGCGTTTCG